TAGTCAACATTTAATGAGTAATCTAATACAAAATCTTTTTTTATTATTCATAAATTGTTAATATTTGTTTTATCTATATTTATGAAAGAATTTCTATTTTCATTTCTCTAATTTCTTATTCAAATTTCAAAATTAAAATATTTAATATTTTAGCGATTTTTAAATCATCATCGAAATTTCTCTCATTTTAAAATATTTCAAGAAGCTTTTTTTAAATATAAAACGAGCGTGAAGTGTTTGATGGATGTGATTGTATCACTACCAATTCTGTGGCAAATTTAGTTCAAAAGATTTGTGAATTAATTTAAACTATTCATGTGTTTTCCAACTTTGCAGTTTTCCTTGACTTTTTCCTAATTAGGCAAATACTTATTCCAAGTTTAAATATTTTAACTAACATAATTCTTTAATCGTGTAAACACTTTTTCAACTCTCCTTCATGTTCGTTCATGTATAACTACAATTTCATCAAAAAGTCATTAATTGTCAACGAAAAGTTAAAAAAAGATATCTCTCCGGTTTCTATAATTGCTTCGCAACTTTGGTGGTGTCAAATGATTATATTTATTAATATCTTCTCAGGAATTTAAATATTTTGGTGTCTTAAAAAGAGAAGAAATTAATGAATTTAATGGTTTGTCATAAAAATAACATTAATAAATTTTTCTCTTATAGAGAAAATGTGGTGAAGATCGTAAGAAAAATAACACAAAAAGAATTTTAAGAAATGAATATTTATGAGGTGGATGGAGACAAAATTCCTTACTAATTACTCAACACGGATATAAAAACAAAGTTTAAAGGAAAATAAAAGTTCTCAGAGGAGTTGAGCACTTATTAGAGCATTAATTTCCTAAACAATTCTTAAATGTAGCTTAACTTATTCCTTTATTGAAATATCGTAGCTTCAGTGATCTTCCGAAATTAAATAAACGATATTCAGTGTGACTCATCTTGTTGATACACCCTCACTAAATTAATATTTTAATTTGTTTTCATATTTCAGGTTTGATTATTTTATACAATTTTTATCAACGTTGTAAAGCCGTTGAATTTTTATTGACTTTTAATTCCATAAAAAATTTCCAAAGTGTTACTCAAAATGCACGATGTGTGGCTCAATGTATCTCACAGTCAGAGATTATTTCTTTAATTTTTTTTTCATTTCGTAATAAATGGAAATTAATCAGGCGTGGCTGTGGCTGGATCAATAAATTTCTCACTCATCTTGTTGTTTTTTTTATCTTTCTTCGTCGTTGCCTATTTTTCGTAAACTTTTGTTTGTTATTTAATTAATTCTCATCTCACTCCTTAACTTATATCTGATTATTTACCTATAAATTTTAATTTTTATTGATTTTTCTATGCTTTGACCAGGCTTGTGACTAATATTTGCCTAAAATATATATACATACATACATAAAAATTTGTCTTAACGAGGAATTTTTTTCTCATAAATATTCTCGAAATGGTGATGTAAAAGAAATGAAATTGAGTCTTTTTTAAGGTCACAACAGATGGTGCAATATTTGTGATTTTATCTGAATAATTAAAAATTAACTCATTCAGCTGACTGATGATGTTCAAGCATCATCGTAAAAATGACATAAAAATATCAATCACTATTTTGTATTTTTTTTTTGCTTGAATAAATCCTGAATGGATCTGATATGCAAAAAAGAAGTCTTTGAAAATATTTTTATCTCTGATAATGGTGATGAATTTATGATCATCTTGACAGATTAACTTGCATACTAGAAAGATCTTTCCTAGGCTAGAAATAATTATAACGTCCATCGTAATATAATTTATTACACTCAATGAAGATCAACCAAAGATCCATTCCGACCTTTTTAAAGGTTTTGGTTGTGAAGCAACAAATTTAATGTTCTCCAATGGAATATAAAACTATAAAGGGACACACTTTTATTATTTATTTATTTATACATTTTTATTAGACATTTATATCAGGCGATTAATAAATTCTGGGAAACGTTGTGAAAGCATTATTTTAGTTTTGTTCTAATTTATTTGCTTATAGTTGCATTCATGACATTGATGGAAGTAAATTTATTAAACTTCAAGAGAAAACGCAAATGAAGTTCTTCTTTACCGATCTTAAATCAACCCTCAAAAAATAGACAAAATGCGCATAAAGCGAAAATTTATTAGAAAAAGAAGTCAAATCACCTCGAAACCAAACAATGATTTCTCTATTTTAATAAATATTTTTTCCCTTTCTTTTTCGCTGATATATTTTTTCATTATATTTTTATTATTGTTGTAAGATAATAACCGCAAAAGACGAAAACAAAAAGAGAATAGAAACAACAATAGTCTTGACTCGTAGGGTGGGGACGGGGCTGTTGTGAGTTTTACAAGACCGAAGCCTCATTAATATATTAATTTATATTCATAACCTAAGCAAAAGCTAAGAGAAAACTAAAATCTCGTAGGAAATATGTGCGTGGGAGGGTGAAGTGAATTGATGAGTTAAAAGGAAAATTCACGGAGTAAGGGAAAAGAAAACTATGTCTTCCCCAAATTGCAATGTTATTATTATCAACCGTGCTGTGTTCCATTATTTTCCGTTAATCAAAGCAATGAAGGGTTTTGTTAGTGCTGCGCGCATTCTATCCATAAATTGAAGGTTTATGAATGAGAATGGAAATATTTAATATTATAAATAAAATCGTTTGAGAAATCAATTGTTCGTCCTTCTTATCATTGAACTTGCTAACCTTTCTTGAATGATGTTAAAGCTCAAGCAAATACCAGTTGAATGAAACACAAATGCATGGGAAAAAGAGAAGAGAGCAATTTGCATTTTTTGTTATAATTTAATTAAAATTTATTTTCTTCACTCTTTCATCTTGTAAAATGACGATCGATATTATCATCCTGGAAATTGTTGTTTCTAATTTCAAAATTACTACCATGCCGTTTAGAAGGATAATTTATTGCTCGATAGATAAGATTGCTTAAACCCTGAAGGAACTTTAAATATTTTAAAATAATATCCGTTTGAATACGAATTAACGAAGTGATCGTGTATCGTTCACCAATCTTCTTCAGTCGGAGTTTTATACAAATGCTTAAGAATATGCAATGAGAGTCGACTAAAACCCATTTTAAGCTGTTGTTGTCTGTTTAGAATGATGACTGACGCTTGGTAAACCTTGAGCTTTGCTTTTATTAATTTTTCTCAGCATCATAAAACACAAAAACTTTCTTTTCTCTATTTATTAGTTTAGAGCATGCATCTTATTTTGTATTGAAGCCATAGTTAAAGTAATCTGTAATTCATTTCTATAATAACAGTAACATCATGCCAAGAAATGTTTACATATTTTAGAAAAAATATCACTTTTGAATTAAGAGTTTGATTGAACATCATGTGTAATTATTAATTAGTCGCAATGTCCCAAGTTCCCTCCTTTGGTGTAAGAGAATGTCTATGGAAACAGAAATGAAGTTGTGGAAAAAAAATCATTATTAAGACCATAATTTATTTAAATCACGGCCATGGGATTATTAAGATAAAGAAAAGAAGAAAAAAATGTATAAAAATAATAATAAAGCGAAGAATAAAAAAGGAATTCGCTGATATCGCCCAAAGACGATTTTTTAAGTGGAGTCGAACTCTTATTGTTGTTGTGTGGGTATGATTCTCTCACTCGCTTGTTTGCTTGCAGATCGGAATTCATGGAACAATATTAATATTATAAATTAATAATGAACACACAAAAACAGAATATCAAACGAGACTTAAATTAAAGATTTTTTTCAGGTGTGGCTCATTCAGATATTCAGCCACGAAAAAGTTATTTTTAAAATTTTTGGTGTTATGTGGTTTTTTAAGTTGGGAATTTAATAAAAATTGAGAAATAACAGCAAATAAATTCGTTAAAATAAGTTAAGATAATAATATCATGTCTTGGAGTGTTAAAAAATTTAGCAAATATACAGTTGGTGAGGATGAATATGACAAAAGATCGTTGCTTAATGAAAGCTTGGTGAGAAAAAGAAGAAAAAAAGAAGACGAAATCGATAACTGGAGTGGAATGTGTTCATGTTCATCATCATAAGAAAGAAGACGAAAGCGCGAAGTGGATACAAGAAAGTGTGTTCATCGCGATGTGCGATCGCACGCCCTGGCAACGTTATGTCTAAGCTGGTTTTTTATTACCATCGACCGATGATCAAATGATGATTCCAACAGAGTTTAAGTTGAGGAAGAATATTTTTTATTCATCTCTTTTTTTATTACGTTTTTCTTGATATCATATGAAATTTATCTTCCTTACACATCTTATTTTTTAACGGGTCTTTAAGCTAGTATTCTCATAAATATTCATATCGTTTTTGGTATTGGATAAATAGTATTGATACTTTTTTTCGGTTGAGATCTTTTCGTGGTTTTTTATTACCTTCTTCTTAAAATCTTTATCGCTTCTTTCACACTTTTCTTATTTTTCTTCTTTGCTATCATTCACTTTTCCTTTTCCAGTAGAGTAAAACATAACTTTACAAGAATGCTTATGGGTGAGTATGTTAAGTTATGAATTGTGATGATAATAAGGACTTTTAAGATATATTATGTGTTTGTGTTTGTAAGTGATTATTTATGCATGCAATACATATAAAAAATTGATTGTTTTAAATCGTTTTGAAATAAATCTTTTAAATATTAAAAACGTAATCATAAAATAAATAATACGCCTTGAAATAAAATCGCCAGTTTAACACAACACTAAACATTGAAGATTTTGGAATTTTTAAAGAGCTAAAATGGTCTAAATTAGTACATAACAGATAACTTTCCATACTTTGCTATCTCTGAATTTACATTTTATTTTGCCCATTTTGACAAAGTTTTACTCACGTGCCTAAACTGCGTAACTTTTCAAATCGAAAGAATTTTTTTTAGTTTTCATAAATGTTAAATTTAAAGATAAAGATAAGGCAAGTTAAATGTTAAAATTTCAAAAAAATATTCCGGTTTTTTAGATAATCTCATAGATTGATCAGAAAAACCTTTCAAACACTTTACTAGATATCTTCACATAAACCATGGATATTATTTTTATTTAATTATACTTATTTGCACTTATGAATAAAGTGATTTAAATTAAATTTAATGTAAAATTCACGATCTACTTGATGAAATGAATTTAGCACTAATTCAAATAAAAAACATTTTTTGAGAAGTAAATATTGAATTTTCTAACAATTGTCAAGTGTCTCAATAGTCCGTCGTTGCTGAATAATTATAGAAGACTAAAGTAATAATATTTTATTAGACTTTTTCTGTTTCCTTTCTTGACTGATAATGACTTAACAAAAACAAAAAGAGAAGAGAAATTCTCATTAATTTCTCGAGATGTGGCAACGACGAGACTGTAAATATCGTGCGCGAGAAGCAAATTCTTAAATGATATTTTTTTTTCGCTCGATTCATTTCCTAATTAAAATGACCACGGAATGAAAATTAAAATTTCGTCTCATGCTTCAGACAGTTGAGAGTAATTGTTCTATGTCGTAATTAAATCATTACAATTAATTGAGGGTATTCCGGCCTTTGTTGACAATTCAGCCGATTTAGACGTCAAAGCTTCTGTTCTACTTAAATACCTAAATCGGATTAAAAGAACATAGAAAATTGTCGTTCTAATTCAGCAATTAATTTAATATTTTATCGACTTTGTAGACTTCAAGTTTTGAATGTTATTTCAATGATGGCAGATAATCAATTTTATTGAATAAAAAAATGTAATTCTGTCACAAATATTTAATGATTATTTAAAAAACCAAATTATCGGCATTTTTTTCAAATTAGAATGACAGCATATCATTTATTGTTATCCCATGGTCAGCTCATGTCACATCGAACGTTAAACTTCTACTTTACTTCATGCAATTTTCGTGTGTGGCTGATCAAACACAACCAGTAACCAATTGAATAATCTAATCCTCTAACAGCAAAGAGAAATTATTTCCTTGAATATAAACCTAATGAGTCAGTGCATTTAATGAGCAAATAAACTTCAACGTAAAGTTCATGCAGGTATTATTAATTTCCCACCGTTTTGAGTGTTGTTTTGCTTCTACGACAATAACCAAAACTTTTATGACATTCTTTCTTTATTTTCATTATGAATTGATAATGAGAAGGATTAGGATATTTCATAATTACAGTCGAAAAGCGCCACTCAAGCTGCCACAAAAATGTTAAGGGGAAAGAAAAACATCAAATGTTCTGCCTACCCAGCGTAACAAAACGGATTTTCTAGAAAAGCAAAACAAAAATGGAGAAAGTGGTGTGAAAAATGAAAATAAAAATTTAATAATTAAAAAATCTTCCTCCTATTTTTATCCTGGAAGATTTTCCTGACAAACTCGACCAGTTGGGGTTGTAATGACTAAATTAATGGGTATCTCTTCTCACGACCCGTGAAATGAATTTTAAATCCATGTTGGATTAAATGAAAGCGACTACAGTACTGAAATAGAAGGAAAAGAAGATGAGATTACACAATCAAGATGTGTAACAAGAGCAACCTGTCAAGGCGGCAGCAAAAAGATATTAAAACTGTTCAAAAATCATTAAACAAGGCAATGTGCCTCGCCCTTTTTCCGCACATTGGGTTGAGAGGATGTCCAGAGAGATGTGTGTAGCCGCACACGCTTCAGTTCAACATAATTTATGATTTTTTAATGAACTCTCGCGATGGTATTTCTAAGAGCTTCTACAGATTTCTTCGTTGTCGAAAGGTTGGTTTGTAGGATGGGCAGCAATTAAACGAGAGAAAACATTTTGTGAAAAAACCGCTCGCGAAAAGCTGCCAATAAAGACAAAAGGCGAACAACAGCAACAACAAAAAAATGCACAAAGCACAAGTCTTTAAGAACCAAAGGGCAGAAATTTCAAATCATTTCTATCGATTTCTCTGTCTTTGAGATTTAAGTCGATGAGTAGCGTACCGGAAGATGTTTCGGATATCGATTTTTCTTTTCTCACTCCGCTTGATGTCCTTCTACGTGTCGCCTTTACTTTTTATGTTTCGTCATTTCTTCGATGTCCTTAAAGGGCGAATACGAAGGAGCTTTGAATGGAAGGAGGGATAGGCGGAAAACGAAGCATATTTTTTATGTGCCAAATGGCATCATTTTATGTACGTGTTATGTCTTCGTCTTTCTTTTGAATTCCTTTATGGAAAGACTAAATTCGGTAGAGCCCAGTCAAAGTAAAAAGTGGGTGAAGTGAAAAACGAAAATAGTTGTCTTTCAAATCTACATTAACAAAGATGATGAAAATTCAGATTAGATATATAATGACTTTGCTTCATTCAGCAATCCTGAACAGCGACTTCCAAACGAGTTAATGTTAAATCGATAAATCGTTGAATAATTGGAAGAAAAGTTTTATTTTCTTGCCATTTATTCATCCCTCCTGACGGAATAAAAAAGTGAGAAGAAGAAAAGCTATTCACACGTCTTTTTTTTACCATTCGTATTATTCTTTATCTCATCGTCAATTAGTTGTGTAATCGTGCGAAGATGTCATGCCGATATTGGGCATTCAAGCAATGAAATAACTATCAATGATTGAGAAACTTTATACTTCTCAACTTTCCTTCGTATTCTATTCCTACGATTACTGAAATTCTTTAACAATTTTCACAGAAAATTTATCTAACTTGCCAAGCCCACGTTCTTTATTTCACCTGCCTTTGTCTTAAGAACGTTGAGAAGAAATTTGGCACGTTCTTTTTATTTACATCTGGTGTTGTGTTTTCTTCGCAAATAAGTGAAAGAACAAATGGTTTTTTTAACAACATTAGGTCTAGATAAGTGAATTCGTTCAGTTTGCTGAATGTTAATATTAAAACCTTGGTAGAAGTCTACTTAAATCTACTTAAATCATTGTTGGATGGCTCCAGCGTATTCTGTGTAAGATAAGCTTAAAACGGTAATTCAGTGATCATAAAACATAATTATTATATCTGTTGTTGATTCGAATAACAATTAAGGTGAAAGCATATTCTCTGTTCAGGAATGGTTGATAATATAAATTACTCCAATTCAACATCAGGGACAATATTTTTCCCTGCTTTGGTGTAATAGATACATTTAATAATTCATCTTCTAGATATCTCAGAGAGGAAAAATCGTCATTAAAACAATAAGGGGCGAAAATCAGATGAAAGTAAACATTTGCTTTCTAATAATTCATTTATTAATTATGTCACTAGTTTTGGCACGCACGTATTTGCCGGCATATTGAATATACGCAAAGAAGTCTTGTTGATGATATTTAATAAGATACAACACAAAATTTCGGTTCTTTAAGAAGGCGGAAAAATTATAACCATTTCAAGAGGTGACATTTAATGATAATTTAGATGTTTTTCGTTTCTTTGACATCTTTTTGTTTCCAAATTATGAATTCAGGGGCAGAGTCGACTAAAATATCAACACATAAATATTTACTGCCTTCAATAATATTAACAAAAACTTTTATGAGAAAATCTTCTTCTAAGAGATATTAAAATATTTTTAATCATCTGTAAAGAAATTCAAATTTATTTTTTTCAAATAAATTCTTCATATCCGACGAAATTACATGTTTTCTCAGAAATTCTTATTTCTTTTCTCATATATGAGTTTATGTACAAGATTTCAAAGGCATCCCTCGCACAGCTTTTTTCTCATGTGTGGGGTTCAGTTCAAACTCATGCTTATACATTTTTCTCCCTCGTTATCTTAACCCTTGCAAAATTTACCCTTCTCTCGGAATCTTCTCATTTCGCATGTGTAATAAGAAAGAAATTTGTTGCAAAAATTTGTCCGAAATAAGGAAAAAAAGAAAACTACACATGTATATATCTTAAAGAGTTGGTAAGTTGGGGTGGAAAAATAAAAAAAAGGGTTCAAAAGAAGAATATGTAGCTGAGATGGCGGTTGACAGGAAAACTTTTTTTAAAAGGAGATTTCGCAATATGAGCTTAAATTTTAGACTTTTATTAAAACGCGATGCACTTCCTTCATATAAAAACTTGTTTTCTTTTATTTACAAAAGAAAACTTTTGATTTATTTGAAATTTTATTAGAAAGAGAAAAAATTGGAAAATCAGCGAAATAAAATTGAAAGCATTATGCAATTATATTTCTGTAACTTTAACCCTTTCAAAGTGTAAAAAGATTTCAACACCTTTCTTCACGCCATTTTAAGTAAAATTTTCCCATATTGTACAATTTGTGTATTTTTTTTGTATTTTATTTCACATTTATTTTGGAATTTTTCACGAGAAAAAAAAAAGATGGAAAATCTTTTCCTTTGCCCTCCTTAATCACATATTCACCCCCCCATACCTCTTCCCCCGCTTCTCTAACACATTTCACCATCTCGAGATGAAGAGAAATATGCAAATATTAATAAGCAAACGAAAAAATATACGCGAAAAAGGGCCACAGTCGGAGCTTTTGGCTTCTTCTCTCATCCGCCCGATGAGCTCTTCTGAGAGCAACGGAGAAAATATTTTGTTATACGTTAGGAGGGATATTATTTCGTCCCCCCATTTCTTTGTCTCCACTAAAAAGAGAAAAAAATTATAATTGGAGCATGCGCTGAAAGGAAAATCGTTAAAAATATGTCGTTAACATCATATGAGATGGGGAGACGAAGAGGTTTTATACCTTACGTTCTTCTTACATGTTAAAAACATCATCCCCTAAACTTCCTTTACTCCTCATATGCCCACTTTCTTCCGAAGAGAAGATGAATGTGCACATGATTAAAAAAGAAAGTTCTTCGCTATATTCTAAACCGAATATGTTTCCATGTTACTCGCGATGATGTCATGTATGTAAATGGGTTGTATTTAAAAATGATGACATCGCAAGTTTTTGTTCCTTTTCTTTAAACCATTGACAACAAGAGAAGATCAAAATTTACGTAAGAAATTAATGAATCCTTTAACAGTTAACACACACAAAATTGAAGGAAGAAAAAGAAAAACATTTCTACATACACTAGAAATATAAAAAATGAAGAAAAATTTCAGTGCTTCTTCCTCCCTTCGCTTAAATAATGCTGCGAAACATTCCTATGGGGACACATATGATCACACATAAAGGGGGTGGCAGGCAGGGAAAAGAAATTACATATATTCAAATTTTACTTAAGGAGCGAGAAAAGAAGAAAATTTCACATCTATTCTCATCTGCCATTTGCCGAACATGAAAAGAACGAAAAATTTTCTTCATACGTAAACGAAACCCATGATTTTTTACTTTCTTTTTGTTTTTGCAACTTTGCTGCTATCTCAGATAATGAAAATTAGTTTTAGTTCTACTTGCATCGCGCCTGTGTAGTAAACATTCGTCTCGGGTTCGCTATGCTGTCTCTTTCGGGTTGTTGGAGCGAAACTTATTTTGGGGTTTGTCTTTGTAATTAAAAGCGACAAAATTGAAAATGAGAAAGCATAAAACACTCACGCCCCCGAGAGGAAAAAGGAAAACTTTAGCAATTAAAATCCGAGAGAAAGTTAATGAAAAAAGAAGAAAATCTGATTGGATTTTGGCGTCGCCATGGCGTGAATTTTATTCGTTAACTTCTCTTTTTTTATTACTCTCATCACGAAGAAATAAACCCTTTAACACCCCCGTCCCCACATTAATAGTCTCCCTCATGCAATACTTATAATTAATTGGTCCGCTATTGCTACACCAAAGCTGTGAAGAAGGAGGCAACTTATAAAGAAATACTTAATTGCGAGTTTTTAACAACTCAGAAAATGGAGAAAGAAATTATATATTTTTTTTCCTCATTCGCTAGTCCTTAGTTGTAGAGAGTAGAAACGACCCAGATGACGCAAATTGCAAAGAGATTAAAACGAAGAAAATGGACGATGACAAACTTTTCCTTCTTTCTTAATTTAAAAATAAATATTTAATGACCCTCGATGCTAATCTTCAAGAGCGTTTGCCGTCGCTTTTTCATTAAAAAGTTTTTTTATAAGTATCTTCGCAATAATGATTGAGAACTTTTTTTCTTTGAAAGACTAAAGAAAAAAAAATTGGATTGGATGGAAAAGCGATGGATGGAAAATCAATTATGGATCAAGAGCAAGAGCGGCCCTTATTAGCTTTTTTTTGTCTTCGCTTGGTCTTCAGGCTATGGTAATCCATTATAATGGAACAGAGATTAAGACCAAAGAGAAAGAAGTAAAAAGCTTTTAATGTCAAGAGGACGGAATATAAAAATGTTTTTAATGAAATCATGGACGTCTTTCGCTTTGGAAAATTTTTCCATTAAGCTTTTCCTCCCGATTATAGAAATGATAAAAGAAGAAAATTCCAATGAAAGTTTGAAATTAGAACTTTGAGAGAATGTTTTTCATTAGAATTTTTATTTTTTTTTAAATACTTTTGAACTTTTTCTAAGAGGCTTTTTACATGATAGGATTTTCCTTAGCAGTGAGTTTGAGTAGATGTTTGAAAGAGAAGAAATAATTGAACATTGTTTATTTATTAAAGATGTCTTAATCAATTAACAATCTTGTTTTAAAAACATTTAAAGAAAATGCAAATGTACAACGTTTGTCGTTACACAAATGTTGTTGCATTTTTAACATGCACCCTGTTGGATTCGCTTGACCAGACATTCAAATGAACAAAGCAGCTTAGAACAGATGTTCACTTTTGTTTTTGTTTTTGATGATCAATGTCGAGATACTACTAAATATTTTTCTTTAAAGATTTTTATCTTTTATTAGAATTGAAATTTACTTTTGGTAATTCATAAATTTATAAAAAAAGAACTTCAGCTTTCAAAAGTGTTTGGTGGAAATAAATAATCTCTAATAATAGTAACAATTTATTGCTATCTTATTAAGTACGAATTTTTCGTTCGGTCAATTATTTTTCTCAGCAGCAGCAATAGGTGCAAAATGTATTTTAAACTGTTTAGCTTAGAAGCAATTTATACATGCATGATATGCTTTAAAGTTATCATTCGGGATTTGAACTCACAATTATTTTTGGTTCTTAGGTAACTCGGACATAAACACATTGCAATCAGTAAGTATCTGTCCATGTTCTATATGAATCGTAGCTTCGCACACAGAGTTGGAAACGAAAATATTGCAAGAAATAAATACAAGCATGGATGAAACCACATGTAGCACTACATGTAGCAAAAATAAACACACAAATATCAACAGTATCAAACTGAAAACCTGCAGAAAATGAACACAATAACAAAATTGAAGTGAGTCTCTACAGTCTCCGGTCAATTGTAAATTTTGTCTGCGGAATATAAGAAGAGAGATTGAAAGAAACTGTTCGGAGTTCGAATGAAAAGCGTTGAAGTTTCAGAGACTTTGTGACTACGTTTCGAGTTGTTCGCTTTATACTCCGTTTAACTACTTTCATACCGTGATCTGAATTTACACATGGGAAGGTTGATGACGTCTAACTAATTTTTCAAGTCAAATTCTTATGCCTGATTCTTCGATTGTCTCTACTTTCCTTACCATTCATCATTGAGATTTAAGCTCGAAACGAAGACAATTTTTTTATAATTTGATTTTCGTGATTGCTTGCTGGTTTCTGCTTCGAAATGTATAACATACTTGCAGCACATAAATACAGTCTTTCCGAGAAAACTACTTTGAGATTAAATTTGCAAAAGTCATAAAAGCGTGAAAATTTTTATAAGAAGAGTTTCAAATAATTGTAAACTAAATAAAATTTCTCGTCTCGCCACAATCCCTAGTTGACCATTGTCTCATATTTAATATCAAATATATTATTATTTTTGTTGAAAGCGAAATGAAAATAAACACAGATTTATAATAATGACTTAGAACTTTTTTTCTGCTTCTCTTAAAGCGTTTCGGTTTTGAGGCTCTTTTCTTATTATTGTCTTATTGTCATGTGCACAACGACATACATATGCGCAACGCGCGAGCATAACTTTGCTTTACTCTTCCTTTCCTATTCATATTTTCATATTCGCTGTTTATATTTTTCCTTGTCTCTGCTAGTGGGAACAATACACTAAACTTGGATGCTTTCAGATGATTCTGAAAAGAATATTTTGTTTCTCATGGCTTTTTGCTGTATCATCACACAAAGTCTTTCTTACCTTTTCTGGGACTCTTTTGGGTTCTTTTTAACGAGAAAAATTATTGTCTGTTACTTCTTCGCTGTCTTTTGTTTTCCCCAGATCGCTTTTGCGAGGCCGAGGCCGAGGCCTAAGCGCGAGTTCCGATTATGAGGCTGAATGTGATTCGGCTTTCAGATACATAAATTGTATTTAATTCTGCTAAAGCTTTTCAACTAAAACCACGAGTGTGTGGAATTTTGACGGTGTTTTATGCAGCGATGCTGTTTTTTTTTATTTCTCGAACGAAGTAAAGCGACTTATTGAATACAATTTATGAATAACTTGCATCTGCCCTGCGAATTTCTTGGAAGAAGTTTCAAAGGCATACGAGGAAAAACTGATTCCAGTGAACTGACCTCCAACGCTCTTCTTTGTGATCAGCTCATTCATTATAAATTTTTAAATAAAATATTAATTAGCAGATTCTCTAAGTATTATTTATAATACCACGGGTGCTTCATCAAATTATCAAATTCACATCTTAAATTGCTGCTCATTTAAGCATTTTATTTAAAACTTTTTTTTCAATTATAAAGGTAATGTTTATGCATCCGAGACCATCGGTAAAAGGCAAGTCAATTTACAACTAAAATAGGCTCTTTATGTGACGGAACAATTGAAAAGATTTCAGGGTGATGATAAGCAAAAAATAATAAAAATAAATAAATACCTAAACACAAAAAAAAATTATTCAAATTGTTTTGAATAAAAATCATTAGGCTAGCTCATTACTGGGATGAGTGAGAGCATTTGAGAAGACTTTTAAAAAATGTATACCTAGTTTCAATTATAATTCGATACAAAATGAGAACATTTATTCAACACTGTTAGAAATGTAATCTATTCGTCACAATCTTATAACTTGACGTTTTCTTATTGTTCCTAAGATGTCAAAAGTAATCAATTGATTTGAAGTAATTTCAATTTTCAAACAAAGCATAATTAAATATTTTAGAAATAAATTTAAATTTTTATCTCTTTCCCTCCGTGTGTATGAAATGACAACAGAAAACTATTGGAATTGTGTTGTGTTTGCGACTCACTCTTAAGCATCGATTATAAAAAAAAATTATATTCAAACTTTAATGTTTCAGAGCGGAAACCCCACACCCTCCGAATATATTTAAATCAGCCTCTTGTTTCTGATAGTTTGTTGTTCTTTTATTCTCTTTTTCATTATAAACATATTTTAATTAATGCTTCTTTCTGTCGCTTTCTGTCTCCACAAGATTGAAATGAAAATATATGTATAAAAACTCCAAATCGTTTATTTTTCTGATCTTTTCTGAATATTGTTTGCTGATGAATTGTCAGGGAAGGAGGAAGGGAGAAAGAAAAATAGTTCTTTCCATTGTTAGTTAATTACGTATTCATCTTGTATCAAAGTTCTAAAATAATTTTGTGTGCCATCATGATGATTAATTAAACATCAATCGCTGCGTTGATGAAGTGGGGAAAGAAGGAATAACATGAAGCGAAATTATATCGTTTATGCTGTGACCGGAGGATGAACATTATGAATAAATCGAGAGATCATTAATTCGTTTCTTAGTTTTCAAAAATTGAAAAGTCATCTATGTACTCGTAGAATTGTACGAATGATTCATTTCAAAATGAATTCACGTTAAATGAAATTCTTGTTTTTTTCTCATCTTAGACTTAATTAAATCTAAATCTAAAATTCAAGATTCTTGTGAACCTTTAGATGTATCTATTTTGAAAAGCAAGGGAATTTTATAAGATTCAATGGAAGATTTCGATGTCCAATAAATATAGAAACAAAAATCAATTTTTATAAATATATTTATTTGATATTATTTGTATATATACTCACATATTATTTTGGTATTGATATTATCAAGTAAATATAAACTTTGTTTTCTTAAAAGAGAGAAAAAAAAGAATAACAAAGCAAAAGCGTTATTGGGTAGTGTGATCAAGAATTTTACAATCATGATAAAAGGAAATTACAGACTACTCGCGACATCTAGATGTGAACTAATTGACAATTTCATGTGTAACGGAAAATTGCTTTTTAAAATTTTATGCAAATGAAAACCGATTTGTCTTTGACAACATAACCGATTTTCATGTTTTTCAAGTGAAAATTTTCTTTCGATTCAGAAAAATGTAAAATAATGTGAAACATTAAAATTTAGTAATACATGCTCTTAAGAAGCTTCAGACCAAAGATGTCTTTCAATTTTAATCCGCTATCTGGCAGTATTCCACAAATGCGTAAGTGATGAACGATTTCTTGAAATTTCCCAATTATGGAAAAATGAAAATTTCAAAATAATTGATTTTAGATCTCCTCGCACCGAATTCGGGTAGCAACTCATTGAATTTACTTCCCAAATTACTCGTTGCCCAACAATCATCTCAAATGGGAAAAAATTCAACACAACATCGTTCATATGATTTCAAAAATATTCATGATGGTAACGTTCCATCGGGAACAGGTCCTATGGAGCTTGAAAATCCTTCCGAAGGCCAATCGAGTTGTGATCATCACTTAAATGAGGGCAGTTGTGAGAATATTAACTCAAATTCTGAGCTGGTCTTCAATGGAATGATGGGAATACAACCACAAAGTTTCATGATGCTTCCAAGTGTTATGATGGATCCATCACTACTCGGTATTCAACAGTTTCCAGTCCTAAATCTTCCAACAGCAACTGTCACTTCACCCGAAAATCTCAAAAACAGTGAGAATCAGGTTGTGAAAGAAATTATTCATTGTCAAAATTGCACTTTGATTCCTCCAAATCCAAATCAGCCACCACCAACAATAAGAGAACGACCACTTGGATGTAAAACGTGTTTTGTTGGTGGTCTTCCTGAAAACATTACCGAAGCAATTATTCATGAAATTTTCGAACGATGTGGAGAAATAACTACACTTCGTTTGTCGAAGAAGAATTTTTGTCATATTAGATTCACTTTTGAAGTATCTGTCGATTCAGCAATTTATTTGTCTGGATATAGAGTTAAAATTGGCAACAACAATGATCCGGGAAACACTGGAAAATTACATGTTGACTATGCTCAAGCAAGAGACGATCAATACGAATACGAATGCAGACAACGGCAACTTCAGAGAGAGCAACGACATAAAGAGAAAGATCGTTCTAGATCGTCATCGTCGCCACCTCTAGTCGTTCACTTTACTGATCATGAAGCAACGTCGGTCTCAGAAAAGATAAAAAATGATGAAACTTTTTTGAAAGCTGTTGTCACTCTCATAACATGGCTTGAAAGGGGCGATTGTGTGAAAAAGAATGCAAATATATTCTATTCGATGATTCAAAGCACAAATTCTCATATAAGAAGAATATTAAATGAGAAATGTCAATATGAAGATGAACTTAGAGATGCTAAAGAAAAATATCATAAGCAGATGATCAAGATGGTTGAGCAATGTAAGTGTCTTTGTAAATTTTATTTTTTGCTAAGTTTGTTTTCTCAAAATTCTCATATTTGATTTCGATTATCTTCGAACATCTAAGTAAATCCTTTTAATAGACAAATGACCATTTTCCTTAAAGATTTATTGAAGTCTCACTGATATACAATTTCAAAATATTTTAAATCTCTCGATCATTCATGATATTTAATTACTGCTTTTGCTTTTTCCGAAACTTTCCGTTTCATAAATNTTTTTGTTCTTTCATTTATTATAATTTTTTAATTAAATATCTAGATGAACATAGAGAAGAATTTACAGCTTTGGTTCGAGAAATGAAGAACCATTTACGTTCTGAAGGATATCAACTTTCAGTTACAATTCTTCCAAATGTTAACTCTTCCCTTTATCTCGATGTTTCTGCAACAGTTAACAATATTGATTGGATCAATCTTGCTGCTTTTGACTTTCAAACACCTTTCAGAAATAAGAAGGAAGTCGATTTTCCAGCACCATTATATCGACCAAGCGAACGCAATTCGGAATTGAACGCTGATTATCAAGTGACTGATTTAATTGGACGTGGTTTCCCTTCAAATAAAATTGTCCTTGGAATTCCCACCCATGCAAACGTTTGGTCTATCGAAGAAGATGCAACTGCGACAGGAGTTCCACCATTTCAAGGAAATGGCCCAGCTCCACCAGGGATTCAATCAAAATTGGAAGGAATTTTGAGTTATGCAGAAGTGTGCAGTAAGCTTACAAACCCCCAGAATAAAGATCTGAAAGGAGAAAATGGCCCAGTACGTAAAGTAGGTGATCCATCCAAGCGATTTGGAAGTTATGGATTTAGATTACCTGATAAAGATGGCGAGCACGGTTTATGGATGGGCTATGAGGGTCCAGACACAGCTGGAAATAAAGCAGCTTACGTCAGAGCTAAGAACCTTGGTGGTGTCGCAATCTTTGATTTGACCATGGATGATTTCCGAGGAGCATGTTCAGGTGACAAATTTCCTATCTTAAGAGGCGCTCGATATCGATTGATGTAATCATTCGTTTCTTTTGAATTTCACTTGACTTCTTGATCCGTGAAATAAATAAACAGCAATAAAGAAGAAAATTGATAAGAAGAATTATTTTTGTAAATATTTTTTGAGTTCGGGAACAGGTCCTATGGAGCTTGAAAATCCTTCCGAAGGCCAATCGAGTTGTGATCATCACTTAAATGAGGGCAGTTGTGAGAATATTAACTCAAATTCTGAGCTGGTCTTCAATGGAATGATGGGAATACAACCACAAAGTTTCATGATGCTTCCAAGTGTTATGATGGATCCATCACTACTCGGTATTCAACAGTTTCCAGTCCTAAATCTTCCAACAGCAACTGTCACTTCACCCGAAAATCTCAAAAACAGTGAGAATCAGGTTGTGAAAGAAATTATTCATTGTCAAAATTGCCCTTTGATTCCTCCAAATCCAAATCAGCCACCACCAACAATAAGAGAACGACCACTTGGATGTAAAACGTGTTTTGTTGGTGGTCTTCCTGAAAACATTACCGAAGCAATTATTCATGAAATTTTCGAACGATGTGGAGAAATAACTACACTTCGTTTGTCGAAGAAGAATTTTTGTCATATTAGATTCACTTTTGAAGTATCTGTCGATTCAGCAATTTATTTGTCTGGATATAGAGTGAAAATTGGCAACAACAATGATCCGGGAAACACTGGAAAATTACATGTTGACTATGCTCAAGCAAGAGACGATCAATACGAATACGAATGCAGACAACGGCAACTTCAGAGAGAGCAACGACATAAAGAGAAAGATCGTTCTAGATCGTCATCGTCGCCACCTCTAGTCGTTCACTTTACTGATCATGAAGCAACGTCGGTCTCAGAAAAGATAAAAAATGATGAAACTTTTTTGAAAGCTGTTGTCACTCTCATAACATGGCTTGAAAGGGGCGATTGTGTGAAAAAGAATGCAAATATATTCTATTCGATGATTCAAAGCACAAATTCTCATATAAGAAGAATATTAAATGAGAAATGTCAATACGAAGATGAACTTAGAGATGCTAAAGAAAAATATCATAAGCAGATGATCAAGATGGTTGAGCAATGTAAGTGTCTTTGTAAATTTTATTTTTTGCTAAGTTTGTTTTCTCAAAATTCTCATATTTGATTTCGATTATCTTCGAACATCTAAGTAAATCCTTTTAATAGACAAATGACCATTTTCCTTAAAGATTTATTGAAGTCTCACTGATATACAATTTCAAAATATTTTAAATCTCTCGATCATTCATGATATTTAATTACTGCTTTTGCTTTTTCCGAAACTTTCCGTTTCATAAATCTTGTGCTTGTTGAAGTATAAATCTCTTGAAAAATTGATTCTCAGTTTTGTATAAGTAATTGGTGGAAGGTAATATTTAGAAAATGTCATATTTGTACCATAAAAGTTAAGTATTTCGGTTGAAAAATCTTTAAAAAAATAACAGGTGAGATGGTAATGGTAAACATTAAGATCGATCAGCCTTACTAAGCCATTGGAAATTTGGTAATTTAATGCTAGTGATTAACTAATGTTACTTTATTTTCAACATAAATTTGATGACTTAATGCTGAGTATTTTAAACTTATTTTTTTTATTCTCTTTAGTTCCTCCACTTCCTTCTCTTTCATTCCTTTTCAAAACGTCAAAAACATTCTTTTCTATTATAAAATATTTTATAA